CTATTTTAATCACTTCAATACTTCAAATACAAAAATAGCTCAGCATTAATTATTAGCTTGGTACAGTTACTGAAATAGGTCATGTGTCTTGTGGGTTTGTGTGAAGCATTTATTGTACTGTACTGTAAGTAAGAAAATCAAGAAATGTTATAAAAAGAAGAAAAAAAATGAGTTAGACCAGCTATATGGATAGAATAAGGATGTGGTCTAGTTATGCTAGATGCCTGGCATGTTAGGTTTTCTGTGTCAGTGTAATGCAATAATAAAATCCGTTACAGAGATCACTTGGTTGCATGACTCAACAGATGGACTGTATGCTTAGTTAGCATTGAGTCCATCTTAGTAATCTCAAAAGAACTGGGTCAAGCCACCACAGCAACAGCCAGAGCCCAAAAGATCATGACCCAAACAGTGCGTTACTCCCTGGTTTGAATTATTCTGCACAGCGCACTCAAACACTTTCACCTGGTGCACAAGAGACTGGCAATTCCAGGGCTTAAATCATCCAAATGATTCTAGTAAAGGTTTACGGAGTTTAAATGTTATGTGGTAATACAGCACTTCCTGTATTACCACATGACATCATGAGGTGGAACAGAGTGCTTTCAGTTTGAGAGAAGAACTAAATGTAAAGGGTTTGTGTGTTAAACATGAATGAAACAAAAACCCAACTCTGGGTATGTTTTTGAACAACATTACAACATAGTTCAGAAAATAGTAAAATATAGGCCCTTTAAGCAGCAACTTGTGAGAAAAAAAGTCAGGGTGCTGCGTTGTCTTGGCATTGCCTGGAGCATTTTGTCTTATGCATACAATATTTCTTAGTCAGTCAACTCTGGTGTACTCAAAAGCGATTCAAGACACTGTTTACCTTTTGTCTAAAGCGATCTATAGTGAATTCAGCTGCACTGGCCTCTCTCTTGAAGGATGCCACAGCCTGGTATTAGTACAAAAGGCTTGTGCTCATAACATTAAAGTGGTGCTAAACAAAAATGGATATAAAAATATAAAATCTGACTGTGCTTGTCTTACTGTTGCTTCTTTTGGGCTACTTCCTATAGACACTTCGTAAAATACTGGACTTAGACTCATGATTCTTCTCTCATTCACAACTCCCCTCCCACAATGCACCACACAAAGTGCAGTGAAAAGTGTCCTCCCTGCAGCCTGAAAAGGAAAAGTGAGGTTTGTTCAAAACAGAGCATTCCAGTCTGTGCAGGCATGGGGAGCTTCCTGTCCCTCTCGGAGCAGTGGACTCTAGGATAAATCTGCCTCTGCTCGCAGCGGAGTATTGCTACGCCCATTATGAAAAAGCTGAGCGCTCTTCCGGCAAAAACAAACGCTGCACATCAAATTTTGACAAGTGTGGCAAGAGTGGGTAAAAATAGAGTGCAAAAACGGGAGACGGGAGGGGCGTGCAGGCAGCTCAGACTGGAGGAACAAAAAAAGATTGCCAAAGTGATGCGTAAAGGTGGATAAAAGAGTCTCCAGCAACACGAGCATTCTTCATGACACTTTTATAATGTAGTTAAGATAATATAAGTGTTAGCCCAAAAGGGACAGTAACAGACAAGTCACTATCACGAGCAACAGGGACAGGATATGACCGATTTGGGAATCTCTTGGAAGTTTGTGTCTTCCAAGTTACATATCTAAATAAGATGCGGTGCGCTCTGCTATCTAAACCACGTATTCAGTTTGCAATGAGTTGCGGGTGTTAGTATTGTTGCATTTTCACTGCGTTACTGACAGAATAAAGTGTTTTCCCTGTCGCCTGTTAGCTAGCGCTAGGCTAATCGTATTGCTATCTAGCATCAACATCCACTGTGACTGACGGCCTGACGCACAAACCACAGCGTATGACTTCATTTTTGAAGCTGACACAAAGTCAAACTTACCGGCTTTTTCATGGTCGTATCCAACCACAATGAAATAGTCAGCCAATCTCGCCATGCCTGCTGATTTTCCCGGAATATACCAACACAATTCAGCATTTTTCCTTCTTCCAAAGCACAGCCATGTTTGACAGAAGGAGTGTCAGTGCGCTTGCGTGCAAGAGCGGGACACATCCATGGGCGTGGGTCCCCAGTTTACAAATAAAGCACTACTTGGCTCTCAAACTTGAGGGCAGCAGGCATTCCATACGAAGTGACCTAGAATTTGACAAAAAAGACTATCCGCAAGAGGAGAAGGAGGAATAGTTTTAGGTAAATTATGACAAGATAAACTAAATAATTTGGAAGCATGCATTTTACTGATATCACCAAAACTACAATATTGGCAAGATAGTTAATAATTCCATTGCATAGCTAAAATGTTTTCATTGTGTACATAACAGTCAACTTTTTTGAATTATGCAGTATGGCCCAGTAATGACTGGGAGGGCCCATAGTTGCACAAACATATGGTGAAACGGTGTGGTAATATCCAGGCTATTCATGGCACAGAAAATCCTTCACTGTTTTGCAAGTTACCAGCATAACTGCACGGTCAGTGGTTCTCAAACTCAAACTGCTTTGGTTGATGGCTCTGGATCTCAAACTAGTATGGCTGATGATTATACCAGCTTCATCTCCTGTGGAGAAATGGTTTGGTCGTAATACTGATTGTTTTGATCTGAGGTTTAAATTGTTTTAGTAGCCGTCCTGGTTTAGTCTACTCTGGTTTAGAGGACTACTCATTTTAGTTCATGATTGTAAAGCTAAAAAGCCAGAACTTGCTATGACAATTGCAAGAATCACCAAAATTTCCTTTCAAACACAATTTCAAGGGAAAAAAGCAATTTGCTTAATATTCCGTCTATGCCATTTCATGCTGCCCCTGAAGGATTTTTGGCCAGATCCTCACAAACTCTTTTACAAAACTTGTTTTTATCTCAGAGGATATGACAGCATATTTGAATCTAGGCAGTTACAAATATTTGGGGGAAAGGTCTTGATTAGAAATGTCTGATGAAAAAAACAACAAACAAATGTGACAGCCATCAGCCCATTCTGTAACTATTACTGCTGGAGCATGTGTTTGAAGACCCCACTCTCAGGTTTTACTGGTACATACTGTCCACCTTTTTTCTCAGATTTTACCTTTACAAAGAAAAAGTCAAAGGTGTTAAATTTAATCATTAATTTTGTAACATCTGCTTTATAGGGGACCAGGAAAAATGCAATTTATGGAGCCAAAAAACAGTTTTTGTCTGTCTTGCACAATCTCCTGTTGTAAACTCCACTAAGGGGATTTCATCTCATGCTGATGGCAATTATCATTACAAAGTGCTTACAAAATGTTTGGAGCTTTACAACATGTGGTCGGCATTTATGTATTTTCTGGGTTTAAATTATGACACCATGTTTTGTCGGAAGGGGCCTCATGATAAAAATAAACCAGATATTTCTTTGTAGGGGACAATGTAGTGTTGCACGGAAAAATGGGTGAAGTGGATTCATGTGTTGAGCATGTGGAGCATGTTGAAACAAATAAATGCACCAATTTATCTGTTCAACGAAAGTGAAAGAAGATTCTCTTTTCCACTTTCTGAAACAGACTGGAAATTTCCTCATTGGGGTTTCACAGTGTCCAAAGCCAACTGGGTTTTTACACAATTTCATTCAGTTATACATTTAACTATTTAATCTAGTAAATGTCCAATAGACTCTAGATAAAAAATATTCTCAGAATGTTTAAATGCTGATACATAAAGAGTCACTTCATTTCTATTAGCTCAAGCACTATCAATCAAGTTGCAGCAGACATTTATGAGTATGAGTAAAACAACTATCATAACAGCATACTTAACATATCTTGATAAAAACACAAGCTATTATTTTTAAAGATTACATCAAAATGAAGAATCCTCGCTGTCACCTGATTATTTTAGTGCGTTCCATTTACCTAAACTTTATAACAACAATAGGACAAAGTTACGTCAAAAATGTCTGAGCCAATATTATTCATACTTGATTGAGATTGTTGTTGAAGATCATGTTGGGGCCAAACTTAATTTTAGATAACTGTAAAATTCCACTTTGCACTTGTCCAAATAATAAATCATGTTGTCGCTCTGAAGTTAAATATTTACCTCATACAAACAAATTCATTGAGTGTATTGTGTTACAGCTGTGCATACCTGCTGCAGCTATTGAGTTACCCAAGGCTCGTGTCAAAAATATTCATCTATCTTTTAATGTACTTTCGCCCTGACATGGAGTGCAAACATTCCTCAAACTGTATTACAAGCAATTAGTTGGTTCGTCGGCAAAGTACAGCTGTGTCTCCAGGCTCTTAGAGGAAAAGACAAATGATGAAATCTTTTTATGTCCTAGTTGTACACCAGAAATGAAACTTCTGATTGAAGTGGAAAGTTCCTGGATAAGTAATTAAATTGCATGCGTGTTTTTTGTGAAACAGAGAATATATTCTCAATAAAAAACATGTACAATCAAGATATTCAAGAGGAAAGAATGTCATTTCAGTCAATAGTTCATGAGTAGAAGAACAATCCATGTAGTATTGGCAGAAGAAATATGACAAGTGATAACAAGTACATGTAAAATGGATGTTACTGGAAAAATAAAAGTCTAGTATTTAGTATGGTACCAATAAAATAGTGGTATAAACAATACTTTTGAGATACTGTTATGTGATTTTCAACTATTCAACTAAGTGTATCTATGCTGAATATATTTACTTTAAATTATATATTGAAGTAAATCAATTTTAATTAATCTTCTCCAAGTAAAGTTTTAGTCCAAGAACACCACACCCATGCAGAAGGTCACAATTTGACTTTTTCCTTGTGTCTTTTATCAAAGTCTGACAAACATATATTTACATTATCATCCTTTCAATTTGGATGAAGGTACAATTTGGGAAATGTTGAAACTACAAAACTTTGGACTATTTTTGTTAGTTTGGAGTGCCTATTCTGATATATGACAGAGCAGCGCTGCGTGGGGTGGGGGTAAAGGATGAGAGGCTGTTTTGTCAGTCCCCTCCCACCTCCACTATAAATGCTGCCTGTCTGCTGTGTACGAGCTATTAGAGAAGTGACACAGCTGCCTTACAGAAGTCAATTCAACCTGTGGAATACTCCATTGGATCTGAAACTTACAACAGCTTTTGCATCTCGTAGAGACTAACAGGTATGTGCTTTTAAAATATTAGTGTGCTGTGATTTATTTCTGTCTGGTTCTCTTATCCTTTTTGAGGTCAGAGCAGAATTGTATAGACAGGTTATCTATGGTTATATAAGCAGCTCAGCTCTTGACATGTGTCTACAGAGAATTGCCCTATAGAGTCAGACACCAGTAGATCCTATTGTTACCATAAATGTGCTATTTTGGGCCATTCATTTGCATAGATGAGTCCGTTTAATCAGATTTAGCTGTGTTTGACTTTAGAGCCAAGCTTATTTTGGACTCCTAAGTGTCCTTCGCAGCACTGGCCAGGGGCCCAAAGCATGGTTGTAGGTTTACTTAACCCAGCAAAACTTGACCTTAGCTTAACTTTTTAAATAAATGAATGATAAGTGCAAATAACTTAGCTTTTGGACTCTTGATGTGGCACTATACAGAAAAGATTTATTTTACTTAACATAGCCAGACATTGAAAAGTTAAATATTAATTTATGGACTGAATAAGTGACTAATGTTTGTCTTCTGATGTCAACAGAGTCAAAATGAAATTCATCCTGCGCTCCTTTCTATGCGGCTGCCTGCTGGCCACAGTAGCGCACTGTGTAGAGCTCGATCCTGAGCTCAAAAAGAGGTCAGTTACTCATATTAATTATTACCTTTTTAATTAGACTCCGAGACATGTACCTTGTGAGACTAATGGACTTGTTCTTGTGTCAGGCTAAACACATGGCTGGGGAGCCGGCTCAGACGGGATCTTTACACTCTGTCTACAGAGCAGAAACTGGTCAGACCTGAGGACTTCAGGGACTCACTGACACACTCCAGGTAAAGACTGTCACAGCTGTGATATGGTATACCATATATGTGATTTGGAAAATTGGAATTTTTGTTTAATCATGCATTTTTGGTCTTGTATAGCTCCCACACTAATGTCCGCACCAAGAGGTCCAACCAGCCGAGGAGACAGGGCTGCTCCCTTGGCACCTGCACAGTGCATGACCTGGCACATCGCCTGCACCAGCTCAACAACAAGCTGAAGATCGGCAGCGCCCCCGTGGCCAAGATCAGCCCCCAGGGGTACGGCCGCAGACGGCGCTCCGTCCCAGAGCACAGGCTCAGTCTCAGGCTGGACCAGGGCAGGCTCAGGCCCATGTGGAGCCAAAGAGACTCTCAGCTCCACAAGCTAGAGGCACTCCTCAGACGGACATGAGCAGCACTTTGAAAGAGGAGATAGAACAGAAAAGGAGAAGAGGACACATGGTGTCCTCTGCTCTGCTTAAAGACTTTTCAGATGCCTCTGACTCGCTCCAAGTTTTGTCCAGTACATTGTTCCAGAGGATGGAGAGTCAGAGCTCGGCCGGCTGCAGCTCACTGATGTGGAATGGCCTGCAGCTGGCTCATAGACACTGGATAGCACTGAGTAAAGTCATGGTGCTGCTCTCCACTTGTGACAGGCCAAGTGGACACAAGTTAAAAGTGGGAACTCACACATTTGCTCCTCACAAACTTTGAAAAGTGTATCCTCAGAGGATTGTAATCTGATTGTACTTGTCTGCACTTTTCTGTTGGACTGCATGAACAGAAGATCTACATCATGAAGCCAAAGAGGGAGAAGCTCTCCACACCTCCCATTTTATATGTATCAGTTCTGGACACTGTATAAGGGAAGTCCCTTCTTTTCTGTGAGATATGTCATAGTCCTCATCGGACTGAAATATACTTGAAAACTTATTGTTTTTGTACAGATACAAGTGCAATCTATATTTGTTTTTTTACCGCAATTGTGTGTATATATGTGCTCCTTTATTTAATATTATATAGAGGTTACAATAAAGTACTTATGCAGATTTATTTTTGTACAGGAAGAAATATATATGGGCATTGTAGCTATTGGCCATTATGTTGCAAACTGTGGTTATAGGATATTATTATATTTGATATATTATATATTTGTTTATTTTATTTTGTTAAATGTTGATACACAATGTCATTTAATAAAGTTTTATACATAAAATTAACATAAATTGTGGTTTTGATTCGTTATGGCAAATCAAAGTGTAGCCTATTGTCTGGAGGGACAGAGGAGATGGAGCACCTGGTTTTTGTTAAGTGATTACTGAGTCTCATTAGAGACAATCTCACTACATTCTTAGTACATTCCCCCAGTTATGACGACCCCCTCCCATCCTAAAAAGGCCAGACAGAATGCCAGGCGCATTCCTGCTTGGTTCAGCTCATATTTGTTGGCTCAGCTCTCACACCACAGAGTGGCCTTAGAGCCATGGAGACTGAGGCTTAGCCCCATCTGTATTCAATGCTGGAGATGTGAGGAGACCAAGACGGGGGGTTAAGGCTGACATACCAGGCAGCAAGAGCATCTTAGACACTGCAACAGAGCACCCATAAACTCACCCCCATTTAAGCAGCCCTCTGACACTGGTTTGAACTAATAAGACCACTGTCTTCACATCATACTGTTATCATGCTCTCTTCTCAGAGAATCAGTGGGTTAGTGAATATACTTGATGTGGAAGAAATAATTGCTGTGGAATTTGTGAAATTTATAGCGTACAATATTGACAACAGATTTTTCCTAGGAAAAAAACATAAATTTCCCCAGTCTAAAAGTGGTTATTTATAAATTATCTTACTGGAACAATAGTAACCTTAGCCTACATGAACAATAGTCAATAAATAACATCTGTATCTATCTCAAAGGGACTGCGAATACTCAAATAGCAAATGCAAACACGCCATCTAGTGGCTAATCAAATGGGTCCATTAAGGTCAACATTCTCTTGTTATTACCTCCGCCAAGGAGGTTATGTTTTTGCCGGCGTTTGTCTGTTTGTTTGTTTGTTTGTTTGTCTGTTAGCAACATAACTCAAAAAGTTATGGACCGATTTTGATGAAATTTTCAGGATTTGTTGGAAATGTGAAAAGGAAGAACTGATTTCATTTTGGGGGTGATCCGAACGAAATCCTGGATTCTGGATCACTTTGAAATTTTAGTTAACATTGTGGTAAATGGGGCCAAAAAATTTGTTTCTCAATATCTCGGTTAATTATTGACCAAACCCCATGAAATTTGACTCAGGGATGGACAATGGGATCCTCTTTCATATTCCAAAGGCTGATCCGGATCTGATCCACAAGACAGATTTTATCGCAATTTATATAAAAAATGGGGGTAGTCCTTGGCGGAGGTCTGCGCTCTCTGAGTGCTTTTCTAGTTAGAATTATAATGACAGTGGATTATAATAGGCCTACAGTTGTAAGTATATAGGCCTATGGACTGCAATTAAAAGAAAAACTTACCCGTTTTAAAATGCTATTTTGAGGAAAATACTGGGACCTTTTGATTCCTGGGGCTGTTCCTGAAAAAGATAAAGGTTAGACCCAGCTATGTAACGCACAGAGAAGCTTCTTTGGTGTATTATTGATGGTTTTCAGATTCTATAATGTGTGTCATACTCTCAAATGGGGGGCAAGTTGACCTACAGAACAGAGCTATTTAAGAAAAATTGGCGACTCATGCGAAGTGCCAAAAACTGCACTTAACCCAAACGTCCACTTGGGGTCACTCTAAGATTTCATATTGGTGCATCTTTATAATTTTAAATTCGTTAAACTAAAGCTGTAGCGTCTATCAACTAACCTGACTATGCCTTTTTAACTTAGTATTGTTTTTTTCTTTTGTTTTACCACTGCAGTTTAAACACACTGAGAGCACACAGTGATAAGGTGATGGGTGAGATTAAGTGATATTCGTATAGTCTGAGTTTAATATTGCATTCCTGGCTGTGTATCCACATGTTTTATTATAAAACAGTCTGACCATAAAGGACCGACTTAAGATCTGTTAATTGGAATTACAACAGTTTAGTTGGATTGTGCTGCTAAATAAGTCCTTCTCAAATAACACTACAGTCAAGGTTTCAGTTAAGTCACATGGATGGCTGAACCTCACCACTACACAGGACCATAAACACTTGCAGTGATCACAGCCTAATGAAAATGTGTTGTTTATTTATTTATTTTTGACAGAGTGCTAATGTCTGCATTGTATCTCCATAGTAACTGCTAAACATTCTGCCACAGACATACATGCAGCCCCAGGGTGGTGCCACTGCAAATGTTTTGTGACTGTACTGCTGCCTTAGTTTCATGTAACCATAGTAACACTGCCCTTTTTCTCATAAAGTCGCCAGAAGAAAAAAAAGGTGAGAAGGACATTTTCACCTCCACCTTGACTTTAAAGGCAGATGTCAAGTCCCTGTTTTGGAGCATGTAAATCGTAAAAAAAAAATTAAATAAAATCTTACTTATTTTAAGAAATCAGCAAACATACATATGTATGTGGTTTAATTTATAGTACTTGCCAATCATGAAAAAGGGAACCAGAACAATAATAAGAGCTGTGTAAAGTGATGTTTAATTATTCATGAGCATTCGTGAAAAGGTACTTTCTGTGTTGATATGATTCAGCATAATGCAACACAATACTTTTAATGTGACTGTGTGCTTAATGCTGTTCCTCAGAGAAGAAATCAGCCAAGGCAAAAACAGTCATTACAACATCTCTAGTCAGTATTTATCTTACTAGCATTTGACACAATCCAACAAAAAGACAAAGAAAATCAGGCCAAACTGTGACATTTCGGAAGTCATGTTGCTAATCCCCATACATGTGTCATAGTGTTGACTGTACACAAACTCCTGTTAATGTCCTTTGTGGGTGGGCTCTTTCTTGTCTTCTGCAGACATGTACCACGAGTTGGATAAAAAGACCCTGAGTGATAACGATGACAAGGAGATGGAGGACGTGTCTGGGGTGAAGGAAGTCTGGGAGTCTCTGCTTAGACTGCTGCCCTCTGGACCAGGCCCTGGATAAGCGGAAGAAAATGTATGTATGGATGGATGGACTGTTCTAATAGAGAAGGTTGACAGTATATTCTGTTCCATATGTATGCAACAGGCCAGTGAGCATGAGCTCATGAAAGTGCTGGCAGAGGAGCAGTCTATGGGAGAGGCTGAGAGGTGGGCGGACAACAAATAGTATTATAATTATATCAAGACAATATATTTTAAAGGTAACATTCTGACATTCTTATAAATTTAGTATGTTTGCACAAGGAAAGCTTTCAGGATTTATTTAACTTTTCCACTGCTGTGAGAACAAAGGGTTTCAGCAGTGGCACCTCAATTTCTGATCCAGAGTAATAGCAATGATGGGGTTTATATATGCAACTACTGGAATGTCTGTGCGTTGCCAAAACAAATATAAACTTGTTTTGATTTAACTTTACATTTCATTTGAGGAGAGAGGCGCTGTAAAACCATGTAAAAAACATATAAAAACATGTAAAACCCGGACAACAGGTGGCAACAATGAAATAAACGTAGGAGACATTATTTTATTTTTCTAGGCGCAGTCAGGGGCCAGAGGGGGTCCGGTTTGGGGACCACAGGATTTCATCTCTGCTGTTTGCGGACAATGTTGTCCTGTTGGCTTCATCGAACCAGGACCTGCAATGTGCACTGGGGCGGTTTGCAGCCGAGTGTGAAGTGGCTGGGATGAAGATCAGCTCTTCCAAGTCCGAGGCCATGGTTCTCGACCGGAAAAAGGTGGCTTGCCCTCTCCGGGTGGGTGGAGAGTCCCTGCCTCAAGTGGAGGAGTTCAAGTATCTCAGGGTCTTGTTCATGAGTGAGGGGAGGACGGAACGTGAGATTGACAGGCGGATCGGTGCAGCTTCGGCAGTGATGCGGTCGCTGTATCGGACCATTGTGGTGAAGATTTACCGGTCAGTCTTTGTTCCTACTCTCACCTATGGTCATGAGCTCTGGGTAGTGACCGAAAGGACGAGATCACGGATACAAGCGCTCGAAATTAGTTTCTTCCACAGGGTGGCTGGGCGCTCCCTTAGAGATAGGGTGAGGAGCTCGGAGTAGAGCCGCTGCTCCTCCACGTCGAGAGGAGCCAGCTGAGGTGGCTCGGGCATCTGTTCCGGATGCCTCCTGGGTGCCTCCCTCGGGAGGTGTTCCGGGCATGTCCCACCGGGAGGAGGCCCCGGGAAGACCCAGGACATGCTGGAGGGACTATGTCTCTCGGCTGGCCTGGGAACGCCTCGGGGTCCCCCCGGAGGAGCTGGAGGACGTGTCTGGGGTGAGGGAAGTCTGGGAGTCCCTGCTTAGGCTGCTGCCCCCGCGACCTGGCCCCGGATAAGCGGACAAAAATGGATGGATGGATGGACATTATTTTACCTTCAACATTTTTATATTTATCACTTGAAATAGCTCACAAATATCTCAATAATATCATAACTGTCCTAAATCATCGTGTTACATATACTGAGTGTAGAGCAGACCTGTCACAAGGATTACAATGACCTAATGTATTATTATGACCTAATACATTTACTTGAGTCACTATTTACTGATATTCTACTTTCTTCCCACTGTGAAAATACCAGACATGAGCACTATTTCATGTTTCATCCTTGCAACTGCATTAATTTTAAAATCAGATGTTTCACCCAGTTACTTTTAACTTACGTTACTTGAGGAGTAGTTTCCCAGAATACTTTTACTCTTAGCTACTTAACACATTTTTTGGACTTCTACTGTTTACTTAGACTTGAGAAATATTTTTTTAAGTAACGTTATTCTTAATTTAGTACAATTTGTGGCTATTTTACCCAATGTTCATGGACATCAATGACTGTCACATGTAAGTTAGTTAGCTTACTACTACTCAATACTACTACTAGCATTAGACCAAATATATTTAGTATTTCTATGAATGAAATTAACTGCAGAGTGTCCCAAAAAGGTAAAGTAATCTGACCCGGGGCATGTGAGAGCTCAGGTGGTTGGACTTGAGGCTCGTTGAATTCAGGTTCTGCTGAAAAACAAACTCTATTAGCTGTTAGCTTAGCTTAGCTTCGGACGGTGAAATGTGGCTTCGCTCTCGCTCATGGCCGGAAAACTGTCTAGATTTCCAAAGAATCGCATTTGGATGAGACAGCTACACTGAAGTGAGTCTCAATATTCAATAGTCAATATAATTTCAAACGCCCATCTTTTGAAAAATGACTCCCATTTTCCACTCTCAAAGTTTGCAATGGCATATCACAAATTGTGCAGAACCACAGCCCAGTTTCTGAGAATGGCTGAAAACAAAATATGTACAGAAGAAGATGAAGTTCTGCCAGGTTACAATTAGTCACAAAACAGTTTAAAAACTATTTAAACTAAGAATCTCTGTCTTTAAGATATATGTCCCTGTCCAAAAAAAAGGGTGATGATCCTTATAGTGTAGAGGGCATTCCAGAGAATAAATCCTATACCATCGCAATGGTCGATGGAATGGTGAAAATTTATGAAAATACAGAGACAGAGAGTAAAGGAAGGTCTCTGTACATGCCTTGTATGGACCAGTGGAGTTTTGCAACGCACTACACTGAATTGCTGGCTATGATTGCTGATGGTCCCACGTAAGTTTATTAAAATATAAAGTTATATAAATATCACAATTAAAGTTTTAGGTTTAACAAAGGTTTAATTTAATTTTAATTAAGGTTTAATTATTGCTGTGCAGTAAAATGTATTGCCACAGACAGCTGAACTTTTGAAGTTCAAAGTTCCACATCCACAAGATGCTAAATGAGATGGAAGAGGGCCTTACAGGAAGTTTCTGCAATAAAGGTGAAATATGTAAACGATATTCTTTTCCCTTGAATATTCTAAAATATGGCGTTAAACTTGGCTATCTTGCATTTCTTCAGGTGTTTTTATTGCTGAAAGATACCTTGAAAAACATGCATTTGAATTGTTTCTCTTTACAAATCTCTCATATCTACATCGTGGCCTGCATGTTCCAGAAACACTTGCTGACGTTCATTAAAGAAAAATACCAAACAAATGTAGATCGAATAGTTTTTGAAAAAGAAGGAAAACAAGTTGACTATGAAACAAGTGTTTCATGGCCTTGGTAAAGACCCCTATGACTTGACAGTAGCCTTTCTTAATGTGCATGCTGTAAATATAAGATTTTTGAGCACATTTTGAGATTTGGTTAGACTTAGACTTGAACTTAGAATTAGACAAACTTTATTGATCCACATGGGAAATTACTACATAGACTTTTTTGCTGAATAATACCAAATATACAGATTTGAATATGGGTCAGTCCGTATGAAACCAGCTGTTTTCAAGGAAGTTTCCTGGCTGAAAAAAATTCAATTTTTTTTTAAATCATCAAATGAAAGAATCTCAAATTTTAGCTCAATCTCTTGAGTCGTTCCTGAGTTAAGGCCCACTGAAATTTTGGGGCCATGCTCACTTTTTCGGAAGCCTTAATGTAAAAGCATGTTTGAGAGACCATAACTTCATAAAAAACAGAGCTAGGAAGCTGAAATTTTTTATTAATGTAGAGTCTTGGTCATAGATTTTGAAGCCACAAATAATCTCCAATTGTCTTCCCTTATCACAAGCAAATAGTGTTTAAGGCTATTAAAGGTAATTGAACCTTTCTAGCAGGTGGGAAAGTACCTAAGCTCCACCAAAAATGACCTGTGAGAGCTCATTTTCAAAAATTCATTTTGAAATGAAGGAATTTAATAGTAGATGTTTTTATTACTTTAAACTACTCAGAGTATGCCAAAGTTCCTCTGGTAAAAAAATTATCAACATCTAACTGTGCCCACATGGGGAACTGAGGGTCCAAAGAAGGGGCCAAAAAGATAACATTAGGTGTTTGAACATATTTGGGACTCCACACCATCCACATGAAAGCTTAGAAAAGTGTGAGATTGCTGTCAGAAATGGTCATTCTCTCAAATATTCAGGTTCAGCAGTTAGTTTGTAAATATCTGCTTGGAGTAAACAGATCTTGGACTTCAAAAATTAAAAAAAAAATTTAGCGTCAACCAAATGTAAGATTTTGGGGGCCCACAGAGCCCCCTTAATAAAGATACCCAATATTTGACAACAGATTCAAAATCTATGACCAAGAAAATCTAAAATAATAAAAATTTTCAGCTTCCTAGCTCTATTTTTTATGAAATTATGGTCTCTCAAACATGCTTATAATTAAGGCTTCTGAAAAAGTGAGCTTGGTCCCAAAATTTCATCGGGCCATAACTCAGGAACGACTCAAGGGATTGAGCTAAAATTTGAGATTCTTTCATTTGGTAATTTTAGACATTTTTAGAAAATTTTCAGCCAAATCTGAGATGGCTCACAAGGGAGGGCGGCTGATTTCATATGGACTGACCCATATACAAGTAAAATACAATATATGATAAATATAAATTATTACTAGGCTATATAGAGTAGAGTAGAGTAAGAGTGGAGTCCTGTCCTGTATGTTTATTGTGGGATTTGGTTAAACCTGTGTGAAGGTGATATGCTTTTTTTAAATGGTGGAGACAAACCTTTCATTGATTTGATAAATTCAACTCCAAGTACAACCCAGTGGGAGTCAGTGAACTTAGAGAAATCTGAAATCTTTCTAAAAACTGACAATTTCATTGAAGGAGAGTATTTTACTCAAATGATAAAGATGTGTTTTTAGTTCATTGTACGTTTTCAGATCCAGTAAGAAGGATGAATAGTATATTTTTGGATGGATCCATCACTCACTTGGTCTCTGCTTTTTTGGCAGCAGACAGCATTTCTTATGGACTGAATTTGAAAAAGGTTTGTCAGTGAACTGATAACACATAACATTTTCAGGAAAAATCTATGTGTTATTGTTACAAAAGGTGCACTATGTAACTTTTTTGGGGGAGAATCTGCCACCTGAAAATGTTAATAATTTGCATTGAATGTTCCATGGTATGTCATTGAACTTCCCTTACTCCATGAAGACACGCAAATGACATCCCCAGGGCAAGTTACAGGTGAGATCTGTAAAATCAGATCGGCTCACAGTAAGAATATTTTTAATGCCTGTTGAACATTCAAAGCAAAACAACAACATATGAAGATAAGCACGTAGCATACTCTTCACCGGAGTTACACCGTGCACCTTTAAATCAGTAAATAAATTATGATTATATTTTCCCATTCCAAGAGCCCTGTGCTACAATACCTGTTCTACTTGGCTTAAATCCCGAATGCAATGTCCTCACTGAGCAACATCAGCCTTTTCTTGTTCTAAAAACCCACCTCTTTAGTTTCTACAAAAAGGGCTGTGTGTATCTCTGTCCACAGATGACCCTATACAGTTTCACTACACCAAGGTGAATATTCTACCAAATATACTCATGTATCATGTAATTAACTTCTGTATTGATGATTTATATTGTGTTGAGGAACTACCGATGAATGAACATGCCATCGCAGCTCAGCTCTGGAAACTTACCACTTGTGATGTTTGTGAAATAGCCAGGAACAGTGTGGTGCAGTGTGGTCTTTCCCATGAGGTTCATATTTCATTTATTGATCAGGTCTAATTGTTATGACCAGTAATATGTTACAAAATCTTTGGTTTTCAGAAAAAGATGCATTTCATTGAAAAAAAATGATCTTAAAGAAGGACCACAGAGGAATGACATCCTGTGCTCAAATGTAGCTCAGTTTTGGATATCCAACAGATATGAAACATTTTGCAATGAACTATGCCTCCTGGTGAATGCAGTCAGGCCCATGTAAACTGCACAATTTTCTCATAGCATTGCATCAGAAATAATATTGTAAAGGTGTTCATAATAACTAATCAACATAAATAGAGAAATAAATACTTTTATTTTCAGTGGCTCAAACATTTGAGTTAATCGTTATCGCATCAATAAAACTTAATAGTTTGTTGCGTTGCCATCTAGTGGCCAAAATATGAAACAATTCAAGCTAAAACCAAAACAAAACATAAACAATAAAATATTCCACATATTTACAGTGACCATAACAAAGTGCATCTTAAACACTATCCACTTTAGTTGGACAACGTTTCTTGGTTTCATATTTGACATGTGTCCATTCTTCTCTCTCAATATATGGCTCTTTTTTAGAGTTACGTTTTCTTTGGGTAAAAAAAAAAATAATAAAATTAATCCTCTATCTTTTTTCACTTATTTATAAAACAGTTAAATGCAATAATAATAATAATAATAATAATAATAATAATAATAATAATAATAATAATAATAATAATAATAATAATAATAAAATACTTACATTTTTATATAAACCACAGCCACTATTGCAACCACAAAGACTGCTACGACTGATGTGATCACCACAGTTTTTTCTAAAACAGAAGGAGAGAAAATTGCCGTAAGATTGGTAACTCAAGTGAAATGTCAATAAACTTGAATTCCCATACTTCCTGAGGATCCCTGAGCGCTGCCCACTCTCGACTCCTTTTTAGCTTCACTGTCCACATGTTGGGACAGACTGGGCAGTGTATTATTGTCCACCTGTTCGGACGAGCGAGTGGACTGGACTGGGGGCAATGATGTAGGATCTTCCTCTGTATCTGTGAAACCATAAACAGGATTTCTGATTGTTGTCTTATTGGCCTGTTCTTTTATTATTATTTAGTACAGGTTTAGCCCCTGTATAACAATGCATTTAAAATGTATGCTGTTTTATCCTGGATTCTGGATTAGATAAATTGCGTTGCTTTGTTTCATACCTGATTCATTGAAGCAAAAGACATCAAATTTCTTGGTAATCTCAGCTCTCCATCTGACTATACCAGTTTGGCTTTGTCCACAGTTGACCTGTGCTGTTATACGAGGAACAACTGCCAAATGCTCATCAGTCCATCCAAACCTATGAAAAATAGAAAGAAAGAGTTAGAGTACTATTTTCATTGAAAAGCTGTTCAATATGGCCAGTGAGATTTACCTGCATGTTTCTAATCCTTTGGTCAAGGCCTTTACCACTTGTGATACTGAGGCGATGTTGACCCCCAGTGATTCACAGATACTGCGGGCTTCGCTCGTATTAAACGCATAGTACGCCTGATTCAAGTTGTTGACATAGCTCACTTGGAAGACTCCAGCAATGTTACGACCAAGTGGAGGAAAAACTTCACAGCAAAACAAATGAAAAGAAAATTATAATGCAAATGTGCATTCAGAAAAAAATTATATTAAAGTAACTTACCTCTGATATTGGCCATATCAAAATCACAAATGCACAGACTGACTGATGCTGCAATTGAAAGCAATAGTAACATATTCATGACTACTGAGAGTAAGCTAGTGTGAAGGATGACAAGTGCTCAGTGGTTTGTCAGTCTGTGAGGCTAACAGCAGGGTTAAATAGAGGTGGGCCTGGTGGTGTGTGCACCCTGTGCCAGAATGAACAGGAAAAGGAAAAGGAAAGAACAATTCATAGGTCAGATAGAGAGCCATCATATGTTCTGCATCCAGTACCTCAGGGACCAATGAGAAATCTAATATGTCAACAGCAGCTACTTCTGCTGAATGTATGCAGATAAACTGCCAGAAATATTAAAAGAGAAATGAGCGCTGATAACACAATAACGTTTGACATATGTCAAAATTCTATTATTGTATATGTCTATTAGCCACTTAACATTTGCACTTTATTTACCTTTCTTGACTTCACTGTACATTAGTTTTCATATGTGCCACAAATCTGCTTGAGCAAGACATCTGTAAAGTGAAGCATAAAAATAAGAAACAAATGTTTTAGAATGCAATGTTCATACTTGCAAAGGTCAGCGCTGTTAGGTAATATTTTAGTTCACATGAATCCCACGCCTGCTTTGATGAGTTTTGGCATGACCACATATTCCAGGTTTAAAAAAACACTGAAACCAGGAAGTTATACAAAGAGTGCTGACGAACACTCAGCTGAGTTGATTTGGGAATAAAACGAGATGGCCCGGAAATCATTAGTGGAGAACAAAAATTACATGCATGTGCAGTAAAATTATGTGTTTTGTTTGTTATATAAATCATACAATCTGCTACAACTTACACAACATTTTAAGGCACCTTTATTTTAAGGTGTGGTGTCAGAACATAATAATCACAAAAACTCAAAATTAGGCAAACTTGTGCTTAGATTAGGGGAGTATTTTGTCCTCTAGAGGTTCCACGTGAACAACCATTTCAGTGATCTGAAAACAAAATCCAAAATAACTGAAATAACTACCACCCACTTTTATGTATTGCACCTTAGAACTAGGAATGTGCTGTTACAATGAAAGTTTAAATACGAAATTACAAGACAAAACAATAAACATCATTATTATATTATCTAGTACTATTGATCAAATTAAATAGAACTCAATATATTTTAAGTCACATTAGGTGCCCTAATTTTACAGGTGAAAAGTTTTAGCAAGCAATACATTTAAATATATTTCTCAAATCTCACTACAGAGTTGGTCCCTGGCGAATATCTTCCACAACAGAAGACAATCTGCAATTTTCCCATTTCAAAAAGGCTTGTCAGTCTATAAACGAGCCACTTCTAGAAAACCAGAACTAAATTCAAGTGAGTCCGTAAGTGTGGTGATATGACATCAAAAAGCTTTGGTTGTTCTACTAAATCCATGTACTTGACGGGCCTGTCTGGTTATGTATCATCACGGCGAGTGTAGTAGTTTTTGAAGAAGGAAAATATACTGATGACCAGGCACATGAGCAGAACAAACATTAGGACAACCAAAAGAAGCCGTTTGCTCCAAGAGACTCTGGGACAAAACCGCCCGAGACAATCAAAGATTTCCTCCATGCTCCTGAGACGAGAAGAATCAGATAAATACATTTGTAATTGTAATGTAGCCACATTACCCATTACTCATCTGCACCCACCTATTGGGTGTGATCTTCTTCCCACTTTCTTCATCTTTATGTTTCACTTCCAGAGGTAGTATGTCTGAGACACTTTCTTCCTCAGGTTTCTCTTCTTGGGCTTTGCTTTGTTTTAAGCCCTCTTGTAATCTGAGGTTTAAAATATGACAAATACTAGTCGGCATATTGTTTGTAGAAGATTTATATAGACAGTGAGTGAATTCATGAATGTGAGTCTCAGCAATATCTTCACAACAGAAACATAACAGAACTGTGGATCAGATCCTGAAGGTAAATGGCCTCCTGACTGACGCATTCCTCAAACTACAGTGGATAGTAGATACATCCCTATACTACATATGGTAAAGAATACTTCAGAAAATATTAAGGAAGTTCAAATCTATGTTGAAAAGGTGACAACTCTTGCAAGAACTAGATATTTGTAAACAAAGGCATCCATTAAGGTCCTTAAATGTAGTGGCTATTATGAACTATTGTGAACTTACCCTTTATTGTAGGCCTCTTCCTCAATCTTCGCCTTGAGTTCAGCTCTGATCTCCGCCCTCAGCTCCTCGATGTTGACTGAAGGCTTGGCTGCCTCACCTTCCTGGTCTGGAGCACTCTTTCCACTGTATTGTTCAAATAGGAAAGAACAGTCAACCTTGAGCATCATTACACCAGCACCGAGGCGGCAGATGTTCACATCTGTATGTGTCTTTCATCATTTCAAAGAGTGGCACAATGGTATAATGGCTTCATTGTATCAGATATTATCACAAGCCACGATTCTAATCTAATCTACACAGAAAAAAAGGGTTTGCAGGAGTAAAGAGAGTGCCATCGCAATAATGTGCTTTCTTATGAGCATGATTGCATACTTTGATCCCAGGTGTTATTTCTCTCACAGCTCTATACAATAATCCTCCTGATGCAAATCGGAGAACAAGGGCCTTGGACTGCCTGCTGCTTATCTAACACGCATTTCCAGACATGTCCCAAATGTAATAGCCGCATAACAGTGAACTTAATGACCAGTCTGCAGCTGAGTGGGTGAAAGCATTAAAGATGTCGTTGTAGTGGTGTCAAACAAACACAGAGGAAGATGAAGGTGGCACTTTGCATGTCTGTTTGTGCAGCTCTTAAGCTCTTGCAGCTTTAGTCAGGTTTACATTATGAGCAGGATATGACTGTAGACATGCGCCTGGGCTTTGTCAAAGTCTGAGACAAATGTTTGGATTAGGACCTTGCATGCTCCGTAAAGAGTGTCTTGATTATTTTTTATGCCTCCACGATTGTTTTTACTGTGGATAGTGTAAAACACATCCTGAAAGTTACAAAACAAGCCAAAGGTCCCAGCCCAGAACAGTAAAGCTTTTGATAAGAAACCGCCCAAGGACAATCGTTCTGAAGAATGAGAGGTGGGGCCTGAGAATGCATCAATTGCATGAATGTACATTTAACACAACAAGTCCATAAAACGTACCATTCAGCTCCTGACTGCGGTGTATCTGTGGGTGCAGGAGTGACTTTTGGATCATTGGCTTCACACTGGATATAAAAAAATAAATAATGATGAATTTAGGCGTGGAAGAATTGCTAATGTTCAAACATTTCAAATTAGTAAATACTTTTAATATAGCATGTAGGTGCATATGGTATTACACAATTAATATATTCTATATTGTATTATAAGAAATTTTGCTGTATGGTTCTAAAAATGCAGGTTAAAATTGTACTGAAGCTTTTTTGTAAGTATAAAGTTTGTTTTAAGAAATAGTAATATGTACATATAGGTTATCCTTAAAATAAGACTTAATAGTCAGATTTTGTCTATGGTTTACCTATGGTTCATTGCTGAGCCAAACTTTATATAACCTTTTATCCTGCCTTCTTTTTGACATTTATTCAATACTTGATATGTCACCAACTGTTGCAGTGGACAGGAAGACATACCAGGACAGGAAGTGCGGCACCAGCGGACAGTCCCACGCTGGGGCCTGGTCCGGCTGTCGAGGGGTTCTGACCCGGGATGTTCAGGAGATTAAACTTCGGCACCACAGCCACACTCACCCTGCGCCTGGGCAGTGCCTACGTAAGAGTGATGTAAAGAGACAGGACATGCAACTGTGTCAGCCAGAGTCATAGGCTACAGAAAGTTCTGATATGGACAGAGGATACAAAGCAGCATTATAATATGGCATTAATAAAGATAATAAGACTGTTACAATGTCTTTCACACTTCAGTTATGTGACTTCAAATCAATTTTTTTAAGGTCCTATATTACACAAAATGGATTCATGATAGCTCTAAGTCATGTTATAATTTCGTTATCTCCCAAAAACACAACCCAGAGTTGTGTTTTGGTTCATGTTTAAGTACTATTGTGTTTATTAGTCTGACTGCATCTCCAAAGCTAAACATGCTTTGCTTCACCTTTTGAGGTCATAGCTGTAGTTTTCAAGTTATGAATTACCTCTCTCTACCAATCTCTACTGATCTTTAGTAGAGATTGATAATTCCAGGGTTGAAACCAACCAAGTGATTCTACGGAAGGTGTATGGAGTTTAAAATCCCAGAGGAGCACTTCTGGTATTACCGCATGACATCACAAGGTGGAAAACTATACCCCATGTTTTTGATGAACAAACAAGATATTTCAGAAAATAGTGTAATATAGGCCCTTAGTTGTTTTAGACTTCTTTCCATACTTTACTTTACATTTAGTACAATGATTTTCTCTCTTTACTGTGTCCGAATAATTTCCATTGTGGATCAAAAAGTCTAAGTCAGATCTTAATTATCATGATTATCTAACTTGGTGTTATCATACATATCTGTTGTAAAAATCTAGATACTCACTTTACCAAGAGTGACAGACATGGATCTTGATGACCGTGGAACTCCATCATCTATGAAACAAAACACTTTTACCTTGGATAATTTTACACCGAAATTGTTTAAAACATATTCAAGTTAGTCTTTACCTCCTGTGTCTACAGAGCCCCCATAACATCGATTGGAATTCTGGTTTGCCAACTTTTTATACTCCATCAACTCAGCATGGTCTTTCTCATAAGTTCTTTTCAGATTTTCAACGTATTGCATCATGACTTCTGTTGCCTTGTTCATACGCTTTTCCTGTAGTAACATAAAACTTATAAGAAAGTCTAGACTGTCAGCACACTAGAACTTATTTGAGACACTATAGCATCGGTATTTGACATTTTGCATACATATACATGTACTTGGGGCATGATTATATTTTTACCTAAATTTTACAAAACAGTGAATGTTGCTATAAAGGTACTATAAGCAAGCCATAAACATACATAAAAATATAACGTACCTGCCGTACTGCACCCACTATCTCTGCCCGGCTGGACAATCTTGTGGCCAATCGATGCAGTACCGACACTGTTTCGATCAAACGCTGGTAGGCCTCACGCTGCTCCATGTTCTGCCATTGTGGGGATGTAACCTGCCACATATATGAAACACATAAAATCATTAACTGCCTTTCTGAAAACCTCAGAAAGACAATTTATTTTTAATGTGCAGGTACTGATTAAGACTGAGAATATGAGGCTCAATGCAATTGCATTATTATTATGGCCTGATTGTAATTTAATGCATGTCCTCATGAGTTCTTTAAATTGAATGGCAGTAACTCAGTGACCCAAACTATGGCCCAGGGGCCAAATGCAGCCCTCGGACCAGTTTTGTTGGCCCTCAAGCTTCCTGCTGAATTGGCCCAAAATACCAAAAGTAGTACTTTTTACTGCAAACTAAGTTGCTATCACACCTAAATAACAAAAATGTTGATGTGATACAGACCTAACATAAATGTTGCAAGCTGTATTAAAGCTGTGGTGGCTCAGTCAAACCTCCATCAAATGCAACCTTTTGAATAATACACCTCATTGTCCTGTATCTACAGTCCTCAGTGAAAAAAGTTTGGATAGCCCTGAAATAAGTGCTCTATTTAGAGTCAATTTAATCCACATGTTTGTATAACAAGTAGTTCTATTTTAGACCTGGTTTAGCCCCAGATTAAACCTGGTTCAAATATGATGATACTTGGGAGGTCAAATATTTTATTTGATGATACTTTGTTGGAAAATTTTAAGAAGCAGTGCAATATCATATTATTATTATTGCATGTTTTGTTCTGTATGTTTGTTTTATTAGATTTTTGCTCTTATATTGCAACATGTGATCTGCTGTGTCCAGGTAATTTGTGGAAGTCCAGCTTTTTAAATATTTCTTCATTTAGTGTAAAATCTCTCTTGTACTGCATGCTTATCAAATAGCTTATTCCTAAGACAAGATAAATATTGATACATTTCCAGGAATTTTTTAGCGTGAGTAGTAGACACCATCCCTTTACTATCATCTGATTTCATGTTTTCAAAGACTGACCTTGAGGGCGTTTTTAAACTCCTCCAGTTCCTTCTCAGTGTCTTCCTCTGTCAGATTCCTCTCCCTTTCAGCCTGTTTGAGCCGCATCTCCAGAGTGTAGTTGTCATTGCGATAGGCCAGTGACAGCTGAACAAATGCATTCTGTAGGAAGGAAATGGACAGTGTTGTAGCCATAAAACAGCAGATTAAGTGTTAAGATGACTGGCTGGTGATAGCAGAGCACCAGGGTGACGCCTTGTACCAGAACATTAAGGAAACTCTCCCACAGTAAAACATAGGCTCACACGGACTGGCCTTGTGTCACTGAGGCTGTTTACAAATCAATATTAGTTAGGGCTGAGCAACTGATTTGATTGATTTTCATCATGACTGCAATTATTGCTCCAATCCATTGCAAAGGTATTTAAAGCTAGCTACCTAAAACAGATGAAAAGAGGGCACTCTTTGAATCTCAAATAAACTTTTTTATAGTAGATGAATATGTCTACTATAAAAAAAATAAAGGAAAAAATTACCTAAATAATGGTGACCTTCTTTTTCTTCACTACTGAGTAGCCCCAACATTAGTTAAAGGTGCATTGCACAATTTTTCTGGCTGAGGTTGTTACACTACATGCATGTTATCACTTTGCCTGGGTTGGGGTTACCAGGACTGTTCCACAGTATGGCATTAAACTTATCTAGCAAATATTTGTTCAGTTACATGTGCTTTTATTGCTTGAAAAACATGTATTCCTATTTTAGGCCAGACTGTGGAACATTCAGGAAAAGCAATATTATTCATCATGGAGGCAAGCAGTTGGTGGACCCTCCACCAGAAAAGTTACCCATTGCTTTTTAATGCTGCAGATTTAAAGGTGGACAATAACTGTAACTTTTCTAGTGATGATGGTGGAGGGGGGTCTGCACCTGCTTATCTGCTGCTTACCAGGAGATGTTACTACTTTGCTTAGAATGTTGTATGACAGTATGACATTAACATTACCAATTTACATGGAGAGACATTAATTAAACTGCAGCAATAATAATAATAATAACACTCTTAAATGAATACACAATAGAAATTTCACACTGTGGAATATTTCAGGCAAAACAATATGATGGAGACAGTCTGTGATGTTCAAAGGGATGCTCTGAACGTGGGACACTGCAGAGAGGAAACATATGACCTCTGACTGTTTGACATCCCCAAGGGACTGCAGCCTGAGCCCAATTACGTCACTAAATGTGTTTGCATGTTCTCCACAGGAAATCACTTGCAGTCTCTTTGGCCTGATCAGGGACAGAAAAGCACTTTCCTGTTGACAAAACAGGGCCAAACCAAATGCCGTGTAATAAAGAGGACTGGCTGCAAAGCAAGTCATCAAAAAGTTAAAGAGAGGCTACATGTGTCTATTGTTCAATGACAAGTGAAATTCATGTGGGACTGTGTGCCAGCGAATGTATTATTTTGCTCTATATTGATACTTTGCAGCTGATATCATCAGCATTTACTGGGGGTGTGAAGCTAACTGAAAGCACTACTGTGTTAGAAGCTCTCTTACTCAAGTTAGTCTTTAATATGAGCTTTATTATATACACAATCTGACCAGAAAGAGCTGAGTTGGAACTACAACAGGTGTTATTTGTGCTTCTCTCACACATACAATTACAATCACAAGCTAGCTAGTATTAGCCAACAGTTAGTCACTCACAATTTTTTTTTTGTGAGTTGTTGTTGTTTGAATCCATTTTGTATTTTTTCTTGAGTTTCCAGATGATCTTAATTTTGGCCTGAGTTTGCTAATGTGTGCATTGTGTCGCCATGGTAACTGATGAACATTTCACCAATAGAAATGCATAATTTCACCCCCAGCAGCATGTCATTGCAAAGTATAAATAATATAACAAAATGGATTTTTGTCTTGTAAAGCATTTGTACTAACCTCAACCTCTTTCTCAGTAAGTGGAGGAGCGCTGTGGTAAAATGGATGAATAGAAAAAAAGATTAGCAAACTATGCAATTATAGACAACACAAAGATAAACACTGAATTACTCACCAGCCTGGTAAACCTCTGTGAAGTTTAAGTTTCCGCAACATCACATCAGAAATATGTGGCGTGGCATCTGACTTCTCCTTAGACTCATCACCACTGTTTACTGTTGGAGACACTGGAGGACCTCCTGAGTAATCAAAGTGGTTGAAATAGTAAATGACTACTTAAGTAATGAAAACACAATAATTCTTTGGTTTGACATTTGTTTGTGTTCATCCAGTGCACTTACTTGACCATACTATATGGCAGCAAGTTTCATATTTTTAAATACTCAGCGAGTAAGAAGTATTATAACAACAAAAGGGTCTGCATGGTTAATAACTGTACAACAGTTTAGAGAACACAGCTAAATCTAGTTCTTCAATAAAGATGTCTCCTAATGGATAAGTATGTTTACCAACCCCAAAACATAGACTCATTGAAACAGGGAAAATCCATATGACATTAACAAAGCATCGCCATTATTCTCTTAAGTCCTTGCACATTTGCTACTACTCCACCTACTATTTCAACATGTAAACAGCACTGCTTGTTGCATATTTTCATTGCCAGTAAATTGGCGACTGAGGGCAGAACATAATGATTCTGGTTCAGGAAGAGCACACCCTACTATACACTGTCTCACTCCACCATGAGGCCACAGGGAAAGCACATGACTGTTACCTTTTTCCTGTTCAGCAGCTTCACTTAATTCTGGCAACTTAGATATACTCTGGTTTCGCATCAACTTGTGCTCCTTTGTAGAAAAGGCAAAACAAAAACATGACATTACTTTAAGTCAAATAAAAAAGGCTAGTGAAAATGCAGATTTAAATATTTGCTACTAACATTTGTTCCCACTATCCACATTAAACAATTATGTATGGACCAACTTAGACATTTAGACTTGAGAGGCAGGCCTACATTTCTACCTACTACATTTTGATTAATTTTAGCTGGACTTGTATATTATTTAATAGATTATCCACATGAACTTTACAATTAACTTAATGTGGCAAGTAAAGCCCATAACTGGCTAGTGACAGGTTTTTCAGGTGAGCAAAATTGTGTCCTGATTGGAAATACTGCTATGATGTCTTACTTCTCTGAGTTTGGATAGTTTTTGGATGCTGACGGGCTGTAGTGGGACATCTTTGTAACCTGAGGATTTACTGACAGCAGTATCACGAGATTTGTCTGAGAAAGTGTCCTCTGGCGTTGGGGGGAAACTCGGTCCACCATTTAAAGGCTTCAGACTGCCCACAGTGTCCCAGGAAACAGCTCTCATTAGAGGAGGGAAGGCTCCAATGGTTTTGATCTCTGCTGTACAGGGGGCCTGCTGCGTTGGGGGTCTTGGGACGGGCTTAGCAACCCCCGTGGCTGGCAGTTGGTTTAGGTTTCGGCCCGGACTGGTCTCACCGTCGGATTTGGTGACTATGGCGGGGCTTTTTGGTGGATCACAGTTCTCTTTTGGAAGCACAAAGCGTGGAGATAATGTCCCAGACGATACTTTTCTCTTCTCTGCAGGTTTCCAGTCCAGCAGTGGTCGGGATCCCTTTGTTTACAGAAATACAGGCCTGAATAAGTAAACTGTATACCTTGTATTTTCCTCATTATGGGAATCATTAAAGACTTTTGAATTGTTAATTTATATGGCAACTCACCTCATTGTCATGTGTTGTGCTTGGCTGCTCTCTTGGTGAAGGAACCTCCAGATGCTATGAAATACATCTATGTTATTTAAATAGCGTAAAATAACTCGGGGAACAATTAAATTATATAGTGACATTACCTCAGCAAATACAGGACCTGCTTGGGTAAGATCAACTGGGCTAAAGCCTAAAAATCAAATAAAAGTACAATTCTTATTCATGTTAACCATGGACAATATTGGCAAAGGCAAGTTGACTGAGGGACATACTAGCTTGAGGAGCAACAGTGAGGGAATTGCTTCTGGAGGAGCAGGGGGAAGACGTAGGAGTTGGAGTTGGGGTTGGAGAAAGACCTGTTGGTTAAAAACACATTTTATGATATGTAAAATATATATAAAATAGTATATAATTACATTTTCCCTACTGACTGTTTTCCTCTTAAAAGCTTTGAATGATTTCTATTCTCTTTCTCCTGATATGAGGTAAATAGGTTCAAATTAAGTATTTATATTGTGATGTTGATGTATTCATAACTAGAAAAACACTCAGAGAGCGCAGACCTCCGCGATAAAATCAGTCTTGTGTGGATCAGATCCGGATCAGCCTTTGGAATATGAAAGAGGATCCCATTGTCCATCCCTGAGTCAAATTTCATGGGGTTTGGTCAATAATTAACCGAGATATTGAGAAACAAAATTTTTGGCCCCATTTACCACAATGTTAACTAAAATTTCAAAGTGATCCAGAATCCAGGATTTCTTCCAGATCAACCCCAAAATGAAATCAGTTCTTCCTTTTCACATTTCCAACAAATCCTGAAAATTTCATCAAAATCGGTCCATAACGTTTTGAGTTATGTTGCTAACAGGCAAACAAACAAACAAACAAACAAACAAACAGACAAACGCCGGCAAAAACATAACCTCTTGGCGGAGGTAATAATAAAGTCATTGTACATAATGGTCAAATTGTTTTTGTTGTCATTTTGTGCTTTGGTTCTCAAGCTGAAGAGAGTAGCATGAGCTCTTCACTTTGTGTAATAGATGACTTAAAAGCTTCAGTTGCTATTGCCTATTGCATTTCAAAGGCCACCTCATTCTCTGCATGTCTAATCTGGTCTCAATTTATCGTTAGCACTTAGTTACTATTATGCTCTCTATAACTCTCCTCTGTATGGCACGCAAACCATTTTACCTTCTAATCAGCAGTATCTGATAGAAATGTCCTAATGTACTGTCCAACTGTAACATGGAGTATGCCTCACGTGTGGGTGAATCAGTGAGACTACTGCTGGAGCGACGGCCACGGCGGGTCAGGAAGCGGTCGCTGGCTTTCTTCGCCTGCTCCAAAAGCTCCAAGTTCTTCTTACGGTCTTCCTCTGACAGCGCCATCTCCGGCAGTGTATCTTTCACCAGGTCGATTACATTACCTGTACTGTCTGAAACAACAGGCACACACCAGCTAAATGAATGTACAACTTAGCACAAAGTACAAAACAAAATCAACTTTGAAAATGAAGCAAATGTAAACATTCTCCAAAATCTACAAGTGTTATGATTAAAAAAAAATGCAATGTGCCCTTTTTAATTATCTGATGGCCGTTTGGTTATCTGTTTGTCAACATGAAGATGATATTGCGCTACTTGAAATGTTCCACAGTATGGTATTAGATTTATTTATGCATTTGTTTAGTTACAGGTTGTTTTTAATGCACTAAAGCATTAGGGCATTAGCCTAAACATTTCTTACTGTCTGAAAGGATCACTTCTCCACAGAGCTCACCTGGTGGTGTCACCTACTATCTCTCCATGGGGGTTTATTGATCATGCAGTGGAACATTCTAGTCAAAGTAATATAATCTCCCTGGAAACAAGCAGGTGGTGACCCTCCACCACAAAAGTAGTATAGCAGTCACCTTTAAACATCAGAGCAATTGTACAGCAAGTACTGAAACATAAAATCTGTGCTGTTGTGAAGTCATTGTGAAAGAAGGATCATATTCAATTCAAAAATTTCATGCCGTAATATTATTGCGAACAGGGCCAACATAATCAGGTAATCAGCATAGACTGAAGTGTTTTCTGTCCTTTGATGTTTTTTTTTCTAAATAGCAACGTTCTTAAAACATTTGAAATATGTGGGAGGACACTAATACAACACACTGAATCATCTCTCGGGACAAGAATGACCAAACTTAGACTGTGAGGTGGTGTGGTGCCTCCTGATTTAAGGGCAGAATACCAAATCATAATATTGCTTTAGGCCCTTGGCAAGACTTAAATCATCAATGTACAAAGGAGAGGAAAACATAATAATAATGTAACTTTTGAACTGATACAAGTGTTACAGGGAAGTCAATTAAGGAAATGCTTTAGAACAAAAAATACACATGCAAAAATAAACAAAAAGTAAGTTACATTACATGTGCATACCAACTGTGGTGATTGGCTCACTGGATGAAGTTCTAGCCACTCGTGTTCTTGGACTATGTGGTCTGAAGGGAGTAAACACAACATTACACCATTTTGATATTTGCAGGTTTGTCAAAAAAAAAAAGCAGTCTGTGTTTAGGTGTTACCTGGCCTGGTCAAGAGATCGGTCACTTTGTACAATCACAGTGGCTTGTTTTGGAAAGATGATGGTGGGAGTTCGGGTGTCTATGGGTGTGGACTACAGAAACATATCAACTTTATGTTATTATTTAATTAGAGCAAAACAATTACTGGTTTTCATTTGACATCCTGACATTCTGTAAGCCTCAAATGTTTAGTGTTTTACCTCAGTCAGTTGGATACATATAGCATAATAATGAACTTTGTGTTTAATGCATATTGTAAGGTTCAACATTTGGGACTTAAAAATTGACTGTGAGCTTTAAGCCATGCCGTTACCTCAGCAAAAATATACCTGGAGTTGTATTTTGTTTCATTTACACATGTTTGAGTAACCCTTAATTCGTTTGTTTTTATTTCCAAAACTCAAAATGCTCTCCTCCACCTTGTGATGTAATGTAGTGGTAGTTTTCATGTTACCTGTTGTTCATTAGAAATGTCCAATTCCAGTGCTGAAATTATCCACATGATTCCAGTCAGTGTGTATGGAGTGGAGCACTTCCTGTATGTATATGGCATCACAAGGTGGAACAAAGTGTTTTCTGTCTGATAGAAGAACTTGGTCTAAATATGTGAGATTTGTGTGCTAAACGTGTGAATGAAAAAAAAAACACACAATTCCA